TCTGTCCCATGAAGTGATTTAATTAATTTATATATGCACAGTTGAAATAATCTATTATCATTTTGCTAGCTTTTGCTGCGATCCTTAATTTCTCATAACACCTTGTATTTCCTTTTTCAGAAAGTAAATTTCCTTTTTCCTTTTCAGACCCTTATAGTACAATGCTACTATTATGATTACATTCTTACAGCTTGGGCTGTGAATCCATGTAGCTTTCACTGTTTGGTGTATTCTGCTCAGACTTTTTATTCTGTGGAATCTTTGGTTGTGGCTAGACAATACATTTATACTGTTTTAAAAGGGGTGATGCGGAGAACTGAATCCACTGTAATTGTTTCATCTATCGGCTCTAGCCTCCAATAAGTGAAAGCTGTCATGACCCAAAGGCATGATTTTGTGTGTGCTTCGGCACCAGAATTATCCCTGCCAAGTTGCAGCTTCATTGCATGGGGAAGTTTCCTGTTACAGAGGAAAACCCCGGTGCAGGGATGAGTTTCCCGCCTTACTGCAGCTTCTTTTGCAGAGTGCATTGCTCAAGTTGTAAGAGAAATGCACGGTGCAAAAGAGTTCCCGCCACCGCATGCAAATTCGTTCCCCGCTATTGGCTAGTTTTAAATTATTCCCACGTGGCGGCTAACGATTGGCCTGTTAGCCGTATAAGAGGCTTGAGCAGTTTCCGCCCAAGCCGAAGAGGACTTCACATCCATCTCGTGGGGACTCTGGATACATGGCAGGGTAGTAGAGACCCTGTGTGAGATTCAGTGGAGCTTGGCGACCTGATCCATCGCCCACCTCTTCCCGTCTTCGAGCACAAATTTTATAAGACGTATCTCCGATTTCGATTTTGGTGGAGCGTTCACCCAGAGCATCCGGAGCTCTGTTCCGTGGAGCCTAGCAAACTCCACGTGACCGTTCGTGTTGTCTGTGTCTGTAACCGCAACTCAAGCAAGTTTTCCAGCCTACACCACTGCCATCTCGGTGTAAGTAAACAATCTTTAAAACTACCGCTAAGCGTTTGTGCCTAATTCCAGCTCTTTGCCCTCCCTCTCCGATCCAGCGTGCCCGGGCTGCTGGCCACAGCCCGCGTGCAGCACAAAAAAGGGCTCGGGTCACGCCCGGCCCGCACAAAAGCTAAACTAATCATTTACAATCTGTTCCATGCAGGGCCTATAAGAGGAGGCGAATGGGAGTTCCTATGTACCCCCCAGGCTTCAAAGCTCTGGGGGCCACCAAAACTTATGAGAATTGCAAGCAATATGTATAAGTAAAGTAGAAGTGCGATCCAGCACTTGTGAATTCTGCTTAAAATTCAAAATTCCTGTTTCCAAAATGGGATGTGTCCCCCACCCCGGAATGTACTAGGCACTCACACTTCTATGGGACCTTAGTTTCATTCATTCAGAGTCCTCCAGATTCTTTCAAGGTTAAGTTATTATCCTTTCAACCCAGGTCCAAGATAGAAACAAACAGATAAAACAGATGCAATGGATCAGAAGGTTCACATTTATGGACAGAAAAGTCCTTCTCCCCACTGACTTTAAGTTAGGGCATTACTTCACCATCTGTTCAGTCTACTCTGTTATTCCTGTTTAGTCTGTAACAGAATACTGTGGTGTTCTTTTCCGTTATTCTATTACATTTCCAAAATGCCCATGGAATTAAATGCCTATGCTTCCCGGCAGGTGGGCCTTTCCTGACCCTTGGATCTTAAAATCTGACAACCTTAGGAGATAAAGATGTTTAATGTTAATAAATGAATATTAAATTCATTTTTCAATCTTAACTGTAACCTATGACTTGAAAGAAAAAAGAAGAGAGCTACCCAAGGGTAATTTCCATTAAATCATAGAATTATAGAACATTAGGGTGGGAAGGGACCTCAGGGGGTCATCTAGTCCAACCCCCTGCTCAAAGCAGGACCTACTCCAACTAGATCATTCTAGCCAGGGCTTTGTCTAGCCAAGTCCTAAAAACCTTCAAGGATGGAGAGTCCACAACCACTCCCAGTAACCTGTTTCAGTGTTTCACTACCCTCCTTGTGAGAGAGTTTTTGCTAATATCTAACCTAAACTTCCCTTGCTGGAATTTTAGACTATCACTCCTTCTTCTGACATCTGCCACCACTGAGAACAGTCTAGCTCCATCCCCTTTGTAACCATCCTTTAGCTAGCTGAAGGCTGTTATTAAATCCCAGCATAGTCTTCTCCAGACTAAATAAGCCCAGTTCCCTCAGCCTCTCTTCCCAAATCATGTTTCTCTTCAACAATTGCAGGTTGTTTGATTGGTTTGTTTTTGTTTTGTTGTTTTTTTTTAAACTTTTGTGTGTCCCTGGTCAAATTAGCCAAATCCATTCCAAATCCTCTCAATTGAGGAACACTCAATCATTCAAACACCATATATGGCACTCCTGCCAGCAAGTATTCTCTACCCCAGACTTTTCAGTTCAGGGCTTCAGATATTCCCAAATCTGTTGGCAGGTGTCCTACATGCAGGCCCAAGCATGGAGCCTTGCGGTTCACATGGCCCTGAGCCTCACTTGCCCTTAACCAAAGTCCACAGCAGCAAGCTAGGGAGGAGTCTCCGCATGTAGACGAGATCCTCCCACTGGAAGCAGGCCAGCAGGACGCTAATTACAAGACATCCTGTCCAAAGTGCATCGGACATGGGTGCACCCTCCACTATGCAATGCCATTTAAATTCATGTCAGTTTTAATCTGAACCCATAAGAGTTATGTTTTTTGTTTTGTTTTGTTTTTTGGAAAATTGTTCATGTCCCAGGTCAAATTAGTCAGATCAAGTCCAAATCTGTTTGAATCATCCAAGAGCCGTACATGGCAATGCTGCAAGTATCCTTCACTCCAGCCTTGGGGCTTCAGATACTTCCAAATCTTTTGGCAGGCATCCTAGGTGCAGGCCTAAGCCCAGAGGCTTGGGGTTTGGATGCCTCAAGTATTGCTTGCCCTCAACCATAGAAGCTAGGGAGAAGTCTCCTATTTCTATAAAGTTAGCGTGTAGCCGAGATCCTCCCACTGGGAGCTGACCAGTGGGAAGCTAACTATGAGGCTCTCGTAGGGGGTCCTGTCCACAAGCAGACAAAGGCCCAACCCTCCATTACACAGGGCGATTTCAAATGCATCATCTCAGTCAAGGTATTTCCCCTGCCACCAGCCTGGTCATGGTATTTCCCCTCCCAGAGTTAAGTTTTTTGTTTGTTTAAACCAAAAAACAAACAACAAAAACACCCCCCCCCCCATCTAGCATAGGCTTTTCTTCACACACCTTAAATCAAATTTAAATCCTGCACCCATTGCAATAAACGCACCTGCCCATAGACCTTTTCCTAACTGAATTGCAGTCTATTAGTCCCAGTCCCCATTTTGGGGTTCACATTCTCAGTTCATTCACTGTCTTTTTGTCATTGTCATTGTTGCTGTCACTTCTGCTGCTGCTGAGCCTGTTGTTGTCTTCCTTGCTGTCTCCCTCCCAGTTATGCTTGTTTGGTTTTTTAATTTTCCATATTCCAAGCCAAATTTGCCAAAAAAATTCCAAATCCATGAGTCAGTCCAGAACCATAACTGGCCCTACTACCAGCAAACATCCTCCACCCCCATCTGGGGTTTCAGATGTTTCCAAATCCTTTGGTGGGCATCCTACTTGCAGGCTAAGCCTGGAGGCTTAGGGTTCGGATGCCCCTGAATTTCGCTTGCCCTTAGCCATAAGGCCAGAGGAGCAAGCTAGGGAGGAGTCTCCCTTTTCCATAAAGTGGGCATAAAGCCAAGACCTTCCCACTCCAGCAGCTAAGTGGGAGGTTTACTATACGTTACCTTGGCAGGTACTATGCCTGTGCCAGGAGAGCTGTCTTCCCCGGGTGCGACTAGGAAAACTGCCTCAGTGGTCGCGGCGTTTCCCATGCCAGGCAAGCATAGGACTACGCTTGATCTGATCCCACAAGAGGCCGAGTTATTTATTTTAAAGAAAATTTTCATGTTCCAAGCCAAATCAGCCAAATCAAGTCTGAATCTGTGAGTCAGTCCAGAACCATATGTGGCCCTACAACCAGCAAACATCCTCCACCCCCACCAGGGGCTTCAGATATTTCCAAAGTCTTTTAGCAGGCATCCTTCGTGCAGGCCCAAGCCTAGATGCTCGGGTGCCCCTGAGTTTTGCTTGCCTTAGCCATAAGGCCCTTGGAGCAAGCAAGGGAAGAGACTCCCATTTTCATAACATGGGTTTAAAGCCGCTGCACCTCAGCGAGTACTGAACCACGCCAGAAGAGCAGGTCTCCTGTGAAGTGGTTCAGGAAAACTGCTTACTTGGACACAGATAAATATATTAACGCGTAGGGGGTGGATGCGGGTGCATGTGCAGCCCGAGCATGGCGGTGCACCCCCTATGAAAAGGCACCGCCGACATTGTGGGCAGCACCTGTGAGCGGTTGCCACCACTGGCATCTGCGGACCGCCAGTGATCACCGCTGGCCGCTGCCAGCCCTTGGGGGCAAGCGTCATTCACGGATATACGGGATTTCCCCTGCCAGGTTAAGAAGCCACTGCGCTTGATCTGAGCCCCGAGAGTTAATATCCCTGTCACGTAACCAGGCCTGGAAGCCGGCCCAAGGCAAGAGGGAGGCGCAGCAGCCTCCGCGCAGCCCCCCTTGGGGCCCGGAGGGGCTGCGCCGACACCCGAGCCCCGCGCGCGGGCTGGGGGCGGGGCCACCACAAGGCGCGCCC